GCTGGGCAAAAAGTAACGATAGTGAAGATTAAGATAATTACATTATAGCTAATCTTACCCGTTTTCACAAAATGCAAGAATTAGGTCCCCCGTTTCCAGACTAATTAGAGAATTTTTACGTTTAGTCAAACGAACAAATTTCAACGTTTCTGGAACGTTTTCAATCGTTCTATAATCGAACCAATTCGAATTTTATGTTCGAATTTAATTCGAACAAATTCGAAAAAATCGAACAAAACATTTGAAATAGAAAGCCACTTTCAACTACTTTAGCCTCATATCTCCCGCACTCTTATAGCTATCGAGACGCAACCACTCCTATGCACGAATGGAGACTTGGGGGTACCACCACATACAAACACAATTCACGTGCGATGTGTAGTTTTGGCGTAAAAGTGAGATATAGGGACATACATGTTCATTTTATATATATAGAATATAGATATAGATATAGATATAGATTAGCTATTGAATAAACATTTTATCGATTTAGGATCGGTGATCGCGATATTGTTGCTACTGTGAACGTCAGTGACCACATTCGTGCTCCACAAGGACATTTCCTTCAGTTGTATTTTTACATATTTTGGTAAATGGTGTAATTTAAACTTTACTAACGATAGTCGCATTGAATCACTTCTTTAGAAAATCTTTGCATAGTTGCCATGTGACGTTCTATTATTCAATCGAAAATTACAATCTAACCAGCCTGTTATTTAGAAAGTGTTATCGCTCAATTAATTAAGGTTGAGAAAATGTTGCAAATAAAAATTATAATTAACTTATAAACTTCCAGAATACATTTGTATTTATTAACTTTAAACCTACCTGTTAGTTTTTAAAACTTTTCATGTTATTGCACGTTCATAATTGCAATGACATGAAAAATATGCAACGGTAACTTCCTGTGTACAACCGCATTTCAAAACTTCCAACCAATTGCCCGCGACAAACTGGCGTAACGGACTCTGTTCGCCAGTAACGTCCACGATTTGTTGTTACGTAGTTATACCACTAATTAAAAAATAACAGAATGCATCGTTAACGTAGAGAGAAAAAATATCGGCATTTTATTATTTATTTTAATTTACAGGTCCCGATCACGGTATCTGCGAATGCGGAAAGTGCAAATGCCTGGGCAATTGGACGGGAAGCGCCTGCGACTGTCTGGATGACAACGAAACGTGTATAGCTCCCAACGGGGTAAGTATCCTACTTACGTCTACGCGCCTCTCCTTTCCATCGGACGAGGAATATGCCCGCGACCCGCCATTATTTCGACATATCAGTACGGCAATAATCAGTAATACCCTGTCAGTAAGGCAGTTGGTGCAGAAATTGTGTAGCGGAAACGGCGAGTGCGTGTGCAAATCCTGCAAGTGTTTCAAAGAGGAAGAGGAACACTACAGCGGCCAGTTCTGCGAAGAATGTCCGGTGAGTACCACTCGGAGGTAAGAGGAGGGAAAGAAGTCGCTCTTTCTGACCTGCGGCGTATTTTCAGACCTGTCGAAGAAATTGCGACCTTTTCATGGAATGCGTCCAGTGCAAGTTTTTCAATTCGGGACCTCTGACCGAAGAAGAGTGCCTCAACTGCAGCATCACTCCGGTGGCGGTAAAGAAAATCGAAGGTAAGCGCCGTCCGGACGCTCGCGATTTCCGTCCAGCTCCTCGCTCACCGACTTTGGTCTTTGCAGTAAAAAAGGAGACAAGTTGTGCGCTTTCAGAGACGACGACGACTGCAAGTTCTTCTTCACCTACAAAATCGATTCGGACGGTTACGTCAAAATTTACGTGCAGAGAACTAAAGGTGAAAATTTCGCTTTCCCCGGACGGGGTCGGCCGTCGCCGGTCTATTAAACGGAGAGGAACTTCTTTCAGATTGTCCGGAACCGGTCAACATCCTGGCCATCGTTCTGGGAGTGATCGGAGGAATCGTGGCCGTGGGTCAGGACCCGCTGCTGATCTGGAAGTTGCTGACCACCATCCACGACAGGAGGGAGTTCGCCAAGTTCGAGAAGGAGAGGCAAATGGCCAAGTGGGACACGGTGAGTTCCTCTCTTCTTTGGGTCGGGACGTAACGGTTCCCCAATGACGAGTCCGCTTTATTTTTCAGGGAGAGAATTCGATCTACAAACAGGCCACCTCCACCTTCAAGAATCCCACTTACGGAGGCAAGTAGTGAGCCCCAACCGTCAGGCGTCTAGTTTAGAACCACTGTAACCTTTTCTTTTGGCTAATTTGCGTCTGTTCTAACCGGATTTCGGTCGGTCCCCGTCGAAAGATCTGATAATCCTCGTTTTTAACGTTTTCGTTTTAATTTATGTCACGCGTGGGTCGACGGGTCGACCGGAGGTCCCGGTCGGCCTCCTTTTCCTACTTTTAATCGCGGTTCGTCTTTCGTTTCCGGCTCCCGGGGCGGGCCGCTTCTGTCCGACACGGCTCCCTCCGTCTTCTTCGGTCGTCGAATGGGGCGACGGCTCCCCGACGGCCTCGGCGCCCGGCAAGCGACAGGCGGGGGAAATTCCCCGTAGGCCGACTCTAACGCGACGCGTGGCGGACGGCGCGTCGCCTTTTGTACAGGAAGAACGGCGGTTGCAAGGGCCGACTTTTGTAGAACCGGAAATCGTCTTCCACTTTTGTTATTGTCCGAAGCCAAATCGTTTGTTTAATAAAATTATTTAATAGCGAACGTCTGCTATTTTATTCCTTAAAGGAAAGAGCTTCTTTCGTTTATAGCCAATGCGGTGGATGGGAACCCGGTTACCGCGTTTTCTCCCCTAACTATTTTATTTATTTTCCAAAATATGCATTTCCACTCTGCGATTAGTTCGGTCATATCTCAGTAACAGGAGAAATATTCAAATCCTCGACATTCTTTAATACCAAGGAAAGCTTTTAATTAAAATATTTTCTCATTAGCTTTCCACTAAGTACACATAATCATTGTAAGATGGACGAATCGATATAAATTTTACGTCTGGTAATCTTCCGCCGCTTAAAATATTCTGAATATAAATCAGTCAGTTTTTAATGCGATGCAATCGACTTTCATACTTAATTAGTTATTAGCAGGCAACGTTTGTACTAATAACGATGGATACGCTTGTTTCAGATCGAACCGAATTAATACGTAATGAATACTAACAAGTAAGTGCTGCGCTCGGATGAAATTCTCTACTGCTCACTCTTATAAATTAGTTGTCATTCGTGTAGGGGAGAGCGGGGCTAGAAGTTCCCGTGGTAAGTTGTTCCGATTGAAATAGCTTCATAAGGAAAAATAATAATAATAATTAGTAAATACGTCATGAAATCGAATGTTTCTGCGCATCGACGGCAGCTATCTTAGTTAGGCCAGTAACGTTCAGTACATTGGAAAAGGAGCCTGTACGTCACTGATCCACGTAAGTAAATATTTTCGTGTTTGATATTTTTGGTATATCTGGCGAATTTAAATAATTAGCGATTAGTTGTTTGGTATTTTTATTCAAAAATATATATGGTATCTTGATATAAACGCTAAAACCGTGTATGTCTCGTAACCTAATCTAGTAGTTGCTGTTTTGAACCCATGTGTTATTGGGGCTAGATGTTCCCTTCTTTGGGGGTATGTTGTGACCTTGGAACAACTTGCCCCAGTTCATCTGTACTGGCAATGCAGTAAAAATACAGTAATATTTTTTTTTTCCTTTTACAGTATGCGGACTTATATTCGAAAAACAACACGAGGTTCTGTATCTCAGGAGTTGATGCAAAGAGCTGCAGATGCAGTTATTAAAGATGGTAAAAAAATAAAAACTGTTGCCAGAGAATTAGATATTTGTCATATGACGTTATACAGATTTGTAAAGAAGTTGAAATCTGGAGTAGAAAACGCTGTGGTTGGCTACAAAAAAGTAAGATTGGTCTTTAGTGAAGAACAGGAAAACAAGTTAGCAGAATATTTGTTAAAATGTGCAACAATTTTCTTTGGTCTTCTACCA